GGCTCGTAAACTGACATCTTCATCGACGATAACTTTATGGTACAGATACAAATCGACTAATGTAACTATTAGGTTATGTTGACAGATGCCCAAGTTGATTGTATGACGTATATGATCTATTTACTTTGACCACTAGGTTCCACTAAAGCCATCTATAAGAAAACAGCGGGAGCAAAGTTGTTCACCTAATATATCAGAATATTGGTGTAAAGATAAGCTGATAAGAACAGAATCGTTTGGAGAAATAATATCAAGGAATCGATATACATTATTACTAAAAAACTCGCATTTTTATAATAACAACTTTACAAATCACGATCCAATTATGAAAATACGCTATATTGTTGAACAATTAAGAACATCCTTTAAAAATTCATTTTATGCATCGTAACTCAATTCCTGCCGTATGGTACAGCCAGTGCGTCTCAAAGTCTGCCGTAGTCAAAGTGTTAATAGTTCCTCGCTAACACCATCTCTCAAGCATCTTTTGCTTGTCAGTCAATAAACCTCCTTCTTTGTCTCTTACACACGAAGCACCTAGGCTTAAAAATTTTTCGAGTTTCCATTAATTTTTTTGTAGTTTTTCCGTGCGTCTTTCATTCGTTGTTGTTGCTCTATTTCTTCGAAGTTTGCTATTTTCTACTCTCTCTTCTTTTTTTGGTAGATTCGCTTCTCCTCTCTTCTCAACTTTCTGCATACATCCATGCTAGTGCTTCTCGTTCTATGTTTCTGCAATGGTAACCTATACCCTGTATTCTTTCTGCTGATTATCCTCGCACTCGAAGTCAAACTAACCATCTTTCTTTCTGCGGTTCTCGAGACTAAAACATCTCAGCGGTTTGGAGGATAGCCCATCTACATCTTACCTACCCACTGTTTATCTACGAGGGCAAATCAATAAGTACTCGTGTTTGAAGACAGGCGGCGTTGCTGATGCAGTTTGATAATACTATTGTGTACTACCATCTTTTAAACGACGCCATATAAAATTTCATAGTGATTCGTGCCAGTTTTGATTTGACCTCAATTCGTAGTGACCTATTTGATGTTTTTCGATATAATGGAAAAAGAGCAATATCGATCCGTGATTCGCTTTTTATTTTTTGATGGATAAACGTGCGAAGAAATAAAAACAGTGGATGCGAGGATGTTAGCGAGGAACTATTAAATGAGAAGTTCGATGCTGTCAATGGGAACTTTTACCATCTATGATAACTGTCAGATATTGATTCAACGAATTTAAACGTAGTCGTTCATCTGTTTTTGATGAGGAGTGTCCACGCCTGGCTGGCGTGGTTACTGAGGAAATCGTTGAAAAGGTCCACGACATGATTTTCGCTGATCGTCGAATAAAAGTGTGTGAAGTAGCAGAGGCCGTAGGCATGTTGTATGAAACGGCATTCATTATTTTGCATGATAACTTGGGAATGAAAAAGCTGTCGGCCCGATGCCCCGATGCCCGATGGGTGCTGCGATTGTTCACGGTGGATAACAAGCGGATACAACTATCAATTTCGAAGCAGTGTTTGGAGCTGTTTAAGCGCAACCCGCAGTAGTTTTTGTGTCGAGTCGTAACTGTTGATGAAATATGGATCCATCACTACGCACCGGAGACCAAGGAACAGTCAAAACAGTGGACTTCACCCAGCGAACGTGTTTCGAAGCAGGCCAAGACGGTCCCATCAGGCACCGGAAAGATGATTACCACTGTTTTTTGAGAGGTGCAAGGCGTGATTTTCATCAACTATTTGAAGAAGGGACAAACTATCCCTATGCTGATTTATTAGACCAATTCGATGTTGAATTGAAGAATAACGGTCCTAATTGGCAAAAAAAAGGGTTGTTCCACCAATGTAGCGGCTCACTCCTCCACAGTCGCCACAGCCAAATTGGTTGAATTGCGCTACAAGTTGCTGCCGTATCCACCGTATTCTCTGGATTTTTGGCCGGTATTCTTGCGATTTCTTCCTGTTTTCAATCTGGTATTCTTGCGATTTCTTCTTGTTTTCAATCTTGACAAAATGGCTCAGTGGAAAGAGATTTACGTCGAATGAGATTATCGCCGAAACAGAGGCCTATTTTGCAGAGTTCAACGAATCGTATTTTTCAGAGTGGTTAAAAAAATGGCAGAGGTGTTGGAAAAAGTGTATCCTCCTAAAAAGGGATTACATTGAAAAATAAAAAAAAATTGTGAAAAACTTACGTCTTCATTACTAACATGGGTACTTGTTGATTTGCCCTTGTATATCTCCCTGTTCAGCTGCACCGAAGCATGGAGGCTCGCCTCGAGATTCGCGACATACGCCTCTTATATGTTTGTGATTTTTAGACGTTCAAAATTGTAGCACTTAATTTGCTTCATACTGACATTTCGCAGTGGAAATTCTAGCCTTTAACCTGGCTCCAACAAGGAAATGGGCCGATTCTATATTCGTTTCTCTATAGAATCTAGCGTCAAGTAAATCAGGTATATGACGCTTATCTATGAGGACGTGGTTGATTTAATTCCTTGATTATAAATGCCCTTATGCTCGACTTTTGTATTACCTGTGAATATACTCCTCGATATTGCAAAATCCGCAAGTCTACTCCTGTTGCCGTTAGTTGCCTCACGTATACTATGTCTGCCCGCACATTCGCAGTAGATCTGCTCCCAGCCTATTTGTGCATTGAAGTTTCCTATAAAAGGATCTTAATATTATTTTTTGGCCTATTATCATAGAATCTCTCCAATGCTTCATAGAATTTATTTCTGATCATGTCCTCCTTATCGGTTGGGGCATGCACATTTATAATGCTCAAGTTAACCAGTTCACTGGTTCACTGGTAGACCCAAAACTAATGTTTTATGGCAAACTTGGTGAGAGCGAATAATTTCGTAATCTATGTAGAAGCTTATCTATAAAGTGTTTTTTGGGTCGCTAAATATGAATCCGGAGTGAAATTTGAAAGATTCAAAATGGCGACTTCAAGTGGCTAACTTAGATATTCTATTATTGATACGTTTCAAACTCAATATGTGCATCGTTTTTCGGTCACCGATG